GTGTTTCTCTGCTATTCATAAAGTTTTCAGTGACTAAATATTCGGAAGTAGTAAAAATACCCTGGGCAACATTTGGTTGCTATGTAACTAGACCCTTGCTTACAATGGCAATTACTGAACCTTTTGAACCAGTACAAAAACCTGCTTTGAAAAGGTGACATTTAAACAGAGAGCTGAACACAAAGAGGTAGGTAGGTGGAGATTCTTAAGAATCTGTGGAGCAAGAGTATTCTACATAAACTTCTGGAAAGATGACAGACTAGGCAGATGCATGACATGGACCCTCTACAACAAAGAACATGAGAGACCAAATGAAACAGACAACAGATGAAGATCTTGGAACCCTGAACCTCAGAAGAAAAGTTAGAAAAGTGGATGGAGTGCTTCCTTGGAGGAGAGACTGAGCAAGGACAGCGAGAGAGGGAGACTGGCTGGTGAACAGCTGGCCAGCTGGCCAGCTAGTGAGCAACTTTGACCGCAGAGGGAGGCCTGGCAGAGCAGATCTGTGCAGATGACGTGAAAGATGTGATTTTTTTCTTTTTTCCACGCTCCCCTGGTGACCCGAGGTGTGGCCAGCTCCCATCCTCATCCTCATCCAATCCCAGAGCAGACCCTGCTCTCTAGGAGTTTGGAGTCACATGGTTGGAAGCCACACCAGTGTGAAGTGGGGCTGACAGTGCTGGTCCGGTGGGCTCAGGTCCAGACCTATAAAACCTGCCGAACCACCAGAGCAGCATTTAACCAGTCACCTCTGCCCAGCTACCCTGTGGTCCTAACAGATACTGCAGCCAATTCCATCCAGGGCCCCCACAAACTACTCCCGGATTGAGTGCCTTGAACATAGTTGGTTCCGATTCACAGTGACCCTATGTACAAAAGTACAAAACATGAATCAAAGGGATATCGTACTGCATGGTTTTAAATTAGGTAAGGTGTGTGCCAGAATTGTATCTTTTCACTGTGCTATTCAATCTGTATGCTGAGCAAATAATCCAAGGAGCTGAATTATATTAAGGAGAACAAACACAGCATGGAGTCTGAGGAAGGCTCATGAGCAATCTGTGATATGTGGATGATAAAAAACCTTGTTTCCTGAAAGTGAAGAGGATTTGAAACACTACTGAAGATCAAAGACTGCAGCCTCAACATAAAGAAAACATAAATCCTCTACCTCTCTAGCATACCTCTCCCCTGCTTAAAAATCCTTCCATGGCTCCCCAGTACTCTGGAGACAATAACTCTTCTAATTTGGCCCTAAATTATCCGGCCCCTGCTGACTTCTTTACTCTCTCAACTTTCCCCACCGGATTCTGTACCTCATAACTGTTGTTGCTATAATATCACCAGAAGATTCTGACTCATAGTGACCCCATAGGGTTCTCTTGTTGTTATGTGCGTTGGAGTTGATTCTGACCCATAGCGACCCTGTACAGGGTGTCCGAGATTGTAAATCTTTACGGGAGCAGAAAGCCTCATCTTTCTCCTGCGGAGCAGCTGGTAGTTTCAAACCGCTGACCTTTCAGTTTGCAGCCCGATTAGTAACCACTACACTACCAGAGACTCTCTAGGCTCTAATTATTATGGGAGCAGATCACCACGTCTTTCTCCTGCTGGTTGGGTTTGAACCCATGAGCAGCTGAATGCGTAACCACTACCACTACATCACCAAGGTTTCTTTATTCTGTACCTAGCCAGTTTGGCCAGGTGGCAGCATCGATGGACTCAAGTGTGGCAACAGTAGTGAGGTTGGCCCAGGATCGGACATTGTTTCATTCTGCTGTGCACAGGGTCGCTATGAGTCAGTGCTGACTCGATGGCATCTAACCACAACAAGCCAGTTTAAATGTCTTAATTTCCCTGAAATGCTGCTGCTTTTTTTTTTTTTTTTGCTGTTGTAAAAATACATACAACACAAGATTTGTCAATTCAACATTTTCACATGCACAATGTAGTGAAATCAATTGTATTAATCATGTTGCGCAACCATCACCGATATCCGTTGCCAAAATTCAACACTATAAACAAACTCAGTACTTCTAAACAGATCACTTCCCCCTTTCCTTCTTCCTCCTACCACTGTTGTTAAGTACTGTCAAGTCAGTGTTAACTCATAGTGACCCTGGATAGGATTTCTGAGAAGCAGCTGGTTAGCAGTCTAGTGCTTAACCTATGGCACCACACCAGGACTCTGCTCCTGCATCTTAAGTGCTATCCAGTCATTTCTGACTCATAGAGACCCTGTGCAGGATTTCTGAGGAGTGGCTGGTGGGTTTAAACTGCCAATCTGACAGTTCAAATGGACCTTGTGGTCTAGTGCTTATTCTATAGCGCCACACCAGGACTCCTGCCTCTAGTAACCACTAATAAACTTTGGCCTCTCTACCAAAATGCTTCATTGTATCTTACCTCTAAACTTTTGCAAGCTCTGTTTCCTCTGCCCTGTGCACTTCCCAGTCTTCACTGGCCGCATCCATTCCCCTTGCCTGCCTCACTAACTGCTTCAGGTTGTAAGTCAGATGTCTTTTCCTCCAAAGAAGTTCTCTCTTACTTGCCTCTCATCTCTTGGCTGGGTCAGACACCCCCACTCCACCAGCTCCCACAGCCCTGCTCAGTCTGACTCTTCCTATCTGGTGGCACATCTGCCCGACTCTGTCCTGTGAGCCCTATGAAAGCAGGGCCAGGGTTGTTCTTAGCAGTACTGTTTCCCCAGCATCACCCAACACAGACCTCTCCTCTCACCTGACTGAGGCCCAGGTGTTTGCTGACATTCTCCGACAGGTAGGCCATGTCTCCCTCAGCCGTGAGCACCATGACGAAGCCCTCCAGGGCCTTCAGGTAGCAGGCATCCAGCGCTTCGCCCCCTGCTCCCACCTGGTTCCACTCCCCTGGTGCCAGGGGCAGGCAGGTGTGGGGGATTGTTTTAGTCAGCCCTGGGGGGTACACACTGGCTCACCTCCCTCAGCACGAATTACAGATGTCCCAGGCTGGGACACATCTCAGTGGCCTGGAGTTCCAAGGAAGTAGTAGGTAGGGCCACCAAGAAATGAAATTCTAAGAGAGCAGAGCTTCCCAGGGAGATAAAATTCTAAGGAGGTGGCGTCTCCCAAGAGAACAGAATTCCAAAGTGGGGGTGGGGGTGGGAGATCCTGGGAAGACAGAATTCCAAGAGAATGGAACGAATCCCCAGGGGTCAAAATTCTAAGGTGTTCAGGCCTCTTAGAGGTTCAGAATTCTTGAAGGGATGGGTCTTCCTCGCTCCAAGAAAACCCCTAAGACAGGCGCCCTCAAAACAGCACTTTGAGTTGATTCCAAATCCTGGCAAGCCCATGTGCTGCAGTTTAGAACTGCACTCACTCCTTAGGGTTTCAGGTTGTGACCTGTCCAAAGCAGATTGCCAGGTCTTTCTTCCAAGATTCGTCTGGATGAGTTTGCCAATGTTTTGGTTAGTTGAGTGCGTCACTGTTTGTGCCACCCAGAGACTAAGGGTTTCTCCAGGGGTTCAGATTTTCAAGAAGCAAGAACTCCTAGGGGACACAAATTCTAACGGGTCGGATTCCTGATCCTGTGCCATCCTCAGGTTTGAGTCCATTGTTGTAAGTATTGTCAACTGTTACAAGGCCAGAGGCACTCAGAATAGTAAAACTCCATGGGGCAGGAAATCCTAATGGGGCCAATTAGACTGTTGTTGTTGTAAAGTGCTGTTGAGTCAGTTCTGACTCATACCGACCCTGTATAGGGTTTTTGAGGAGCAGCTGGTGAGCCTGAACCACCAACCTTGCAGTTCAAATGGCTTTGCAGTCTGGTGCATTACCCACAATGCCACACCAGGACTCCAATTTGACTTCGTTGTTGTTGTAAGTGCCATCGAGTCGATTCTGACCCATAGCGACCCTGTATAGGGTGAGCTTGAACCACTGACCTTGCAGTTTTAAACGACTTTGCAGTCTGACGCATTAGCCCACAGCACCACACCAGGACTCCCGTACTTGCCCCCAAATAAAATCTTTTCAGGCTGCTGGGATACCAAAGTGTGTGTTGGGGG